AATTAATTCTTGGCCAAGCAGCAGCCAGGACATAATTGCCAAGCACAAACTTGCCTAAACACAGCTGTTACTCTAAGTGGCTTGACTAAGAATCTACAATCTCTGATGTTTCAGTTCATCAACCATTTAAGGACTCTTTTAAAGGAATAGTAGTTCTGATTGTTGTCTAAACAGCTTTCCTGATCAGTTTCTGGCACTACCCAAAAAAATACCACTGTTAAAACTTGCAGTCTAGGTATTGTAGCCCAGAGGAAATTCCCAAAGATGGTAGCAAAGAACTCAGCTTTTTTCTCTGTAAGAAGTGTTGCTCCACTAATACTCCACAAGGCCCAGAGAATAGAAATGCACGGAAAAATGCAGACAACTCTAAGTCAAAAAGTGACTCTGAGGTGTCAGATTCAATGTGAGGAAATTATAATAATACTTCAATGACTTTCCGTTATATCTGTGTCTACAGTATGATACCAAAATATCTGTTTGTAAAAATGTCTGAAAGAGCTCTTCAAATAAGAATGAAACTTTAAAACGTGTGAGGAGGAATTACAGTGATCACTTCATTGGCAGTTTTTCCTTTCTTAATGGTACTTAAAATAGTGATATGCCTAATAATCTATGGTGCCGTAATGACAGCAAAATAAGAGAGACACTTCAGAGACTAAAACATGATAAATCTGCCCCAGCTCTCAAGATACTTATTTGGAAAAGGGAGCAACAAAAGCACATAAAGAACAATAGAAGTAAGGCAAAGCAGAGTTACTGTCCCCAAAATAGTTACAAATGAAAAGATTTGGAATTGAGGGAGGAGGAGGAAGAAAATCCATGAGGAAAGGCTCCAGGAAGGAGGGCCACTGACGACCCTTGAAGAACAGATAACAAAGATAGGGTGACAGAGGTAGGATGGATAAAAAAAGTAAAGTGAATGACCAAAAAACCAAACACAGGAAAGTGAGGGACACCTTGGGGGGAACATCGGGTAGCATATTTTGACTACAGGCTTTGATATCCTTTTTGGCTTTTCAGATCCCTTTAAGAATTTGCTGAAAATCATGAGCCCCATTCTTAGAAATAAAAATGCAAATTTGTAATTTAAAAAAAGCTTTGCACACTATTTCTGAGAATTTCTTGTTCACAGGTAGCATGAGAGAGGAGGAAAGAGATAAGGAGAAGGGGGAAACAGGTAGCCTTTCTAGACATCACACGAGAGGTTGGTGATTGTGATCAAGGCTGAAGAAGTCTCTTTTCTGGAGGACAGATTTACACCTGACTGCAGGTAGAAAGAATGACTAAGAAACGGGATCCAAGGTCAGGAGGACTCATCCAGACTGGTCACCCACAGGTTAAAGGCTCTGGTGTACCCTTCAGAATCATTCCTGACTGGATCTAACTTGGATCATATGGCCTTCTGACCTGGTGGGATGACATCTAGAAAATGTAGGTGGGAAATAAATATACAGGGACAAAAGGATGCCAGAGCCTTATTAAAGGTTACCTTGGTTGCCCCACACACACATGCACCAGATTTTATACTGCACTCAGGGCATGCCGAAACATGATGCCGATTGCTGAGAGAAATAGCTGTCCAGAGCTCTGGTTTAGAAAGATTAATTTGGGATTAGAGATGTATGTGTGAGCTGGGAGAAACGAGTTAAGGGTTTATTGCAATTGATTTTTATATGCTTCAAATACGTTCTATGTATTCAGCTTCTCCAGCTCTCCTCACCACCCACCATTTGGCAGAGAGCCAGGCCTTTAGTAGGCATTTGGTAGTGCTTGCTGACATTCACTTTGAAGCTCCCCTTGTAATGTCTTTATTCCTCGACAGGTGGCACCATTACTGCATTATTTACAGAGCAGGTTTCCTTCTATAAGCACAGCACTTGCAAGCAGAAAAGCTATTTTTCAGAGGGAATTCACCTTCTGGGGACAATGTAGAAGTGGGAAAGGAATAGTAGCTAAAATAAAAGATTGGGGAACATTCCTCTTGTGTGTCTATCATGTCTTACCACTTCTTATCATTTAGCAATACCCTGGCTGAATTTCTATTTCTAAGCATTAAATAAGAAAAAAGTGCTTATGCAAACCTGCCTTTTCAAAGCCAGCAATTGTATGACTTTTATGCAGGAATAAACTCAAATACATTTGTGGAAGAACTGTTGCTTTGTTCTGGGAAAACTGTTCAATGAGCCATTTCATTATACTCACCAAGGAGAGACCATAAACTGTAGTGGCACTAAGATCATACAAAACTGCGTGTTTATGTTGGAGGCCAGTGTGCATCTTAGAAAAATAACTAATTCTCTAAGAACAGTTCTGGGTTGTGCCGGGCAAAAGTTGTAGCTTACTTCTTTGAAATTGTGTGTGTTTTCATTTTGAGATTTAAGTGTTAGACCCTGAGAGGCACCCCTTAGACCAGTGGGAAAGGGGGTGCCAGTGAGGGGTGATGTCCTATGGGTAGTGCTGTTTTGGAACCAGGCCTAAAGCACAGTGCAAAGACATGGAAGAGCTATTTTCCCTGCCTCTCATACATCTGCAATGCTCTAGTAAACTTTGATAGCACAAGACTTGGAATCAATGGGATACAAGATTTTAGCACAAGTTATAGGTCAACAGAATTTGAATTTTTTGAAATCAGATTTATATATAAATTTGAATTCAGTGTAGAAAATACTGTGGAGGCTCTGGGAGGTAAGGTTAGAAATATTAGAAATATTATATACAAGCCAGGTTGTTTTTTCTCTGGTATTTTTCAAGTTAAAAGTTTCATTGCCCTTTAGTTCAGTGATTGTGATTTTTTTATACTCAATTCTTACATACTAAGGCTTAAGTAGAAACAATGGACTTTCTCTCTAGAAAGTGTATATGCTTGTAAAATTTTGCATTCAATTTGAAAGGGCCATGGACTTCTAAATTTCAGTTGTGACCCTTACCCTTGATTCCCTGGTTAGAAATCACTGCTGAAAACCAGTTGTTAGGAGCATTCCAAACAGGAAACATAAGAGGGTCATGAGGAAAAAGGAGGGCAGATGTCAGGAGGAACCTGGGCAGGATCTGTGTGAGATGCTGGTGTTGGAGATTGAAGAAACCATTGAATTGCTTTTTTCTAGGGAGGTTTTTCTCTGTCTGGACTTGGGGGAAATAGTCAGAGAACCTCTAAGAGGGCCTTCATCAAGGAACTAGGGCACGTTTAGAACAGTTGGTATAGAAAGAGGAACTGAAATGGAGTTAAGGGTTAAAGGACTCAACTAGAACTTTATGAAGGGCTAAGGTGCCCCTGAGATTTGCATCAGGCAATAGAGAATCTGAGCTATAGGGAGTGGCGAACAGTGAGGACAGAGCTGTGTCAGGGAGTACCTACCTGGGAGCATCAGATTCTTTCTCTCAAGGCACAGGTCAGGGCAGCCATGTTTTTGGTGTTATGAGTGTGTTATTTTGCCTCCTGGACACCGAGAAAGGTAACTAACCAAAATCTGAACTGCAATTTCTCATCCAAACTGAGAAGATAAAAAGTAAATTGAGATTATTTCTTTTACAGGATGATTTTAGGCTCTTGACTGAGGAAACAGGTCTCCTCTGACAATCCAAAGGGAATTAAAAGCAGTGTTTCATATTGAGAGCTGTCTAAATCAAACAGACCCAGATCCGAGTCCTGGCTTTGCCAAGTAACAGTCTGTGACCTTGAGCAAGCCTTGAGTCTATCTCTGAACTGTTGTGTGAAAATAATAATAATGCCTACAGATAAAACTGGGCATATAGTAAGTACTCAATAATAAAGGATTGCTATCATTGTTGCCTAATATTAGTGCTGGATGCTAGAACTGTAACAGGAAGGAGCCTTTCATCTCCCAGTCCCCAGGTTCACATCTCAGGTTCCATACTCTGGCTGCCCTCCCTAGGTTCCAGAACACATTTCCCAACCACTATATAACTCAAGACTTTCCCTGGCCATCCTATACATATAGGGTGGCCCCCAAGACCTTTTGGTCCAAAAGTATATGATATATAAGACAAAAAGACTTGTGCTCAGCTTGGAAATCTCACCATTCCCCTTTCCTTATCCTGAAAGATAACGGTTCTTCAGATAGGAAATTAGTATATTAAAAGAGATTTTCTAGAACCTTCCCAGAAGATTTTGTTTTGTTTTCCCAGAAGAATCTCACCAGCCACACCATCCCAGCCCACTAACATGTGAACAGTGTTTCCTAGGGTCTTATATATTTTTCTCTGCAAAACTTTTTAACTTTATTTTATACATCAGTCAGTTCAGTGTTGGAACTGAAATTCAGGTCCAGATCTATGCCTCCAGTGCTCTATCTCTCATAACAAGCAACAGCAAGTGCACACACGTGCGCGCATGCACACACACACACACACACACACACACACGCACGCATGCACGCACACACCATCCTAGCTTGTTCTGCTCTCTACTGTTGTTCTGGGGAAACCTCGGGAAATCTCCATGACCAAGGGAACAGCCTAAAGCTGATGTCAGTCTCTGCTCTCTGGGGAACACCTTACCGGAATCCTCCACTAGAGGCCTTGAGCAGTTATTGTGCTTCCCTTTGTGATGTGTCACTCCCAGAGATCCTGGGCAATCCCTCCAGAACAATACCCCCAACTCACCCCTTCCATGAACAGGTGTCCCGCCTGGCATTCCAGGACTCAGATTCAGAAATCCTCTCCCAGGGAGCAGATGTTTCACCGAAAGGAAATCTCTTGCATGTGTGGAGTGCTGGCATGTTAGCCTGGGGATCTCAACACATACCCTCCCTCTTCTTCCCCCATCCAGCTTGAGATCAAGGTCCAGGATAGAAAAGAAAGCAGGCAGAGTTTGCAGTGTTTGTCCCAGCCAGGGCAGGAACAGTCAACTCCTTGAAACTGGAGGCAAGTTGACAGGAGGGAAAATGCACAGTCCCTACATTTCCCACTAAGACCTGGTCCATGCAACGGGCCCAGAAGCCCCCCCTGACATCCGCTTAGTACCAGTCAGCAAGGAGGGGAGATGATGCCTTTTTATTAAAGTTAACACCAAGAAAAGCATTGAGAAGGAATACACAAAGGAGGGGGAAGGGCACACAAAATCACCACTTCAGGAGGGAAGAGGGAGGCACATCAGTTAAGGAACCTCAGGACAGCCACATGCTCCATGCCCTGGTTGGGAAGGAGGAAAAGGGAGAGGAGAGAAGAAAGTGCCATTATAGCTTGGGGCTCTCAGAAGAGTTTGAAGCCCCCTGAACCTAACACCAGAGCCACAAGCCCTGCCCCTCAGGGCTCACACACTACTACACAATTGGACACACATAACACACACAAGACATTATGGAGGCAACACCAAGAGGCAGCAGGTAGGGACATATTGACAGAAAAAGGAATTGAAGTTAGCAGGTGTAGCCAGGAGAGATTGTTTTTGGCTGCAGCCCCGAGTCCCTCAAACGTCCCCTAAATCTGGGCTGCTGCTGAGCACCCCGGAGTCTCTGCCTGTGGACTGGGCTCTTTGTTCTCTAAGCCCCAGTTAGTGGAAAAGCAATCCCAGATGAAGTCAGAAACAAGGCAGGATCCACTCTGCATGCAAAAATCCTAGAGACTGAGCTATTTTGTCTTCATGCACATTCATAGCCAGCTCCTCCCAGCCCTGGGACCCCCCAGAACCCCATTCACCCAGATTCCTATGGCTGCAGTTAGTTCCCTCCTCAATCTTCCTTTACCAATCAGCAGCTGCAGAGATCTGTGAGGCTTCTGCAGAGCACTGAATACCCTGAATTTCAACAGAAGGGTAAATTTCCTGTTGCCGGAACAGAATACCCCAATTCCTTTATGTTTAGGTAAATCATTAGCGATTATTTGCCATAGTCCTAGATAAGTCTTTTTTTCAGAATAGAAAAAAGCAGATTTTATTTACACAATTCAGGGGTTCTCTTGTTGCTGGGGAGAGGGAAAGGGCAAGGTGGGGGGGGGGTTGATGGGAGTCCGGAGATGGGCACTTTCTTTCCGAAAACCTCACCTTTCTCCAGTTTGCTATCACGCTTGATTGGGCAAAAAGAATTTTTGATGCTCCCAAAGTCCTTCGCCCTACAAATGCTTCTTGGGGTGAGTCTCTCTCTACCCTGATGCACAGGGGCAGCCGTCGGAACGAAGCGAGCCGCACCCGTTCAGTCCCCTCGAGTCAAGCACTCAGAAACCCCAAACCAGCCCGGGAAGTTAGTGTCCCCGTAGAGTCCCCTCACAGAGAGGCCTCGCCCTCCAGCTGCAGCAGGGTAATATCAGGCAGGTCGAGGGGTTCCACAAGTGGCCCGTCCCCCCCAAGGAGACCAGCACAGGGGCTTTCGGAGCGCTCACAGTGACTGGTGGGTGTGGCAGGGCTGGGCATCTCTTTTTCCTCTTCGTCGTCGTCCTCCTCCTCCTCCTCGTCCTGGGGATCGCGACCCAGCAAGCCGCTGTCCCCGATTCCAGGCGAAGGAGTCTCCGGCTCTTGGGGAGGACCGGGAAAGCTCCCCTTACCGGCGACCACGCCCAAGCTGCCCCGGCGGGGCGCCGTGGTCATAATCTGGCACATGGAGACGATGGCCCGCTGGTTAGCGCACACGTCGTCCGAAAGCACCTGGATGTGCGAGGCCTGCTCGTCCAGGGCCCCTCGCATGGCCCTCACGTCCTCGAACAGGGCCTGCAGCTGGGCCTTCAGGTGCTCCATCAGTTCCTTCATGCCGCCGTTGTACTCCCCGGAGATCACGTCCCCCACGGCCGGCACGGCGGACACCTCCAGAGGCGCCGGCATGTCGCCGCCGTCCTTGGTCCTGATCTCCAGCAGCCCGTCCTCCATCGAGTGGCACAGAGGGCGGTGGCGGCTCTGGGTCGCGCCCGGCCCG